GTTGAAAAGTCCTCATATGGTGGAAGACTAGTTAGGATACACACGTTTATTAGGATTTATTGATTAGATTTAATTTTTAAATTAGACTTCAATTTCCATTTAAATTCTAGCAAGATAAGGTTAGTTGAAATTCAGCTCGTATTAGCTCAGAAAAAGACATGTTTGATTTTGACTTGTATTACTATTAGAGATAGGATTCTAACCCCCCTCCCCAATATGTGTGCGCTCACACACACATGTATATATAGACGGTTATGCTTGGTACCAAGCAGAAACTTGGTGTTTGATAGTGATGTGGATGTATCTCAACGCGCGCACGCACACACATATATATAGATGGGAATGCTTAGTACCAAGCAGAAACTTGGTGTTTGGTAGTGATGTGGATGTATCTCAACCCCACGCCTAAAGTTGTCAAGTACAAAGGGAAAAGTTGCCACATGGAGATGTACCTTCAATCCAACTAATCTCACTCGCATCTATGGTTGAGATTCCTCAACCTCACTAACACTATACTTGGTGCTTCGTACTAAGCATACCCATATANTATATATATATATATATATATATATAAATTATTTTCATTATAAAGACTGATAAAATTTTATGAAATTTTTTCTGGTTAATTGCTAGCCACACGAATTAGTCGCTGGCAAAAAAAGAAGAGAAAAGGAAGCTACAACAAACTCAATTCTAAAAAATAGCTAGCAAGTCCTCAAATCCAACCATAGTTTCCTTGCTCAAAAGCTTCTATAACTACAATGTTAATTAGTCATAGTGCTAGGTGACAACTAGTGACATCATCATCCACTTCTAAAAAAGAAAACTGAAGTCCCCTTCTCTCTGTTTTCAAACTCGCAAACCTAACAGACCTCTTCAACCAAGCTTTCAGATCCATCTGTTTGTTCCTCATTACTTACGCCTCATACCTTGAAGCTTGTGTCCTGCTTCATAAAAGGGCCCAAAGCTTCACCTTGTGCTTCCGTCTTTTTAAACATTGCTCACCAAACAGGAGCTTATAGCCGACATAAAGAGGTTGAGGACGGAAATAATGTTGCTGAGAGCAGTTGATAGATCATGATTCAACAAGTCTAGTGTATCTTAATAGATCGAGTTAAGGCTAGCCAGTTTTATGACAGTAAGATGCAATATTTTTGGGAGGTGATGGGAGGACTGAAAGCCAACATGAGAATACACGAGGGAGGTTCACTTTACTAATGTACACAGTTCAGTGTAATCTATACATCTAGGTAGCATCAATATGAATATGAAACTGAAGTTTGTGTACATTAGTAATAAGAGGCCTAATTCATTTAGCCTTAGGAAATTAGTTTAGCATTAGATATTTGATTTTAAGTTTAGATTGGACATTGATTTGATTTTAGGATATTAAAGTTGAAATTTAGATTTAAGTTAAGTGTCGTAGCTCTATTTGAATTTAGAATAAGTTATTTGATTTGAATTTTTAATTGTCAATTTTAGGTCTATAAATAGCCAATAAATTTAAAATTTTAATGATGAAATTGATTAGCTTCTGTGATCAAATCAAAGGGTTGAATGCTATGTGATTTGTATATTGGCGTGAGAATAAATCATATCCCTTGAATACGGGCGATTTGCATATCTGTGCAAGACCGAATCTTGTGCCTTGAAGTGGGATTGCTGCTCTTTTTCTTTTTCTCTTATTTAATTTTCCTTTGTTGCACCCGGCCCTTGTCTTTTTCCCTTTATCTCATCTGACCAACAACAAAATCCTCATCTCTTTCCTCCACTGTAGCTAACCAATCCCACAAAGCCTCAGTATTTCTTTTTGTTTGATAATAGCAAAAAATCAAAATAGCAGCCCGGAAATACAAGAAACTACTTCCTTTTCCCTCACAGCTACCCAACAGCACCCATTAACAAATCCAATCAAAGCAACTCGTGAACAGACACACTCATCTTCCGGCTTGCTGCCATCCCAAACCCATTCCCATCAATTAAATGGAGAATTTACATAATGTGAAAGAAGAAACCATTTCCTTTGAATTTTTCTCATTGTCAGAGGTGGTCTTCTATATTGTGCATTATATATCTTCTAATCTCCAAAATGCTTTAATTTTGTTAGCAGATTTACAATTATAGATCTTATCATCATTAGAAATACCTCTGGTTTGTGCACAGAACAATCTTATTACAAATAAATTGGGTGTTTCCATAAACAGAGCATCTTTAGTCTGCATGGCCTATGATCGATGCAATCTGATTAGGCATGTTTATAGAAGACAGCTGAAAGAAGGAAGAAGAGGGTTATTATGGTCAACAAAAAACCATTACCACCGCTGTTATGCAGACTCCAGAGCAATGAAGAGACAGTAGAGACTAAACCCTGAGCCAGCATGTAAGACATACTAGGCAGACGCATTTTCGCACAATCAGATCTGATTGTACCTGTTTCTTCAATAGAAGCTTGAATCTTGTTTCTTGAAAGAGGGTGACATGGCCTTATAACATTTCAGCGAATCAGGACTATTTGAGCCAAAACCTGACTTATTTGCAGCAGCGGAAGAAGTGGAAGTGACAGTGACACACAGATGGGGAAGGCATTTACTCCCCTTTTCTCTGGAGTTTCCATCATCACTAACTTTTCTTGTTTTTTACATTAGAGGGTTATTGCGCTAAGAAAAGTTCTAGTTCCTTTTGCCCTTCTATATCTGCCTACAATCTCTGCCAACACTGGCCTTAGAGCATGATTATCCATCAAATTACCTACACCACGGACCTGAGCACTTATCATTTCTATGAAAATAAATAAATAATGAACAAAAAAATTCACTTGAGGCTTATTTCTTCACACACACTCATCTTATACGAGAGCTAACAAATCTGAAGTGGCTATTTCTAGCAACAAGGTGGAATATAACAAGGTTATAGTGAGACAACAAGGTAGAATTAGAAAGTTTATAGTGAGACGATGCTATATATTTTGAAGGATGTTGCAGTTGATTTGAAGGATGTTGCAGTTGATTAGATGGAACTCCTGTAAATATCTTAAAGGTTATTGCAGTTGATTAGATGGATTTGCTGTAACTGCTATTTGAAATTAATCTCACGTCAAACTGCCAAGACATCTTTACCTGAGAGGCAAAATGTACACACGAACTTGTTAACTGGTAAATTCATCATTAGCCAATTCCCAGGAAATATTAATTAATAGAAACCTTACTAATGCAATAAAATATTATGATCCGCCTTAACCTGAGCAAATTTATAACCATGATGCACAGAAATATAACTTTGATTTATCTTCTAGTATAAGTTTCACATATACAAAAATCATGTTGCTTCATAAATTCTTGTGTTAATTGGAGTCAATGTGTGATTTCAGGCACTGAACACGTTGCAGTAATTTTGTTCTATGAAAAAAGAATTTTTCATAGAGTATTGTCCATGTTTACATAGTTTGCAAAATACATGGGTTTCTGAAAGCAGTACACCAGCAGAATTATAAGGAAGAAGGCTTCCATAGTATTATGCAGGCAAGAAAAATACCAACAAAGTTAAGGGGAAATTTTATGAGGCACCTATTTGGGCCATTAAAGGACAAAATATGAATACAATATGAACATAGCTCAAATGAGAATGTGGAGATGGATGAGTGGCATGAATTATGAGGTACTTAAGAAAAGGATGCATATAGGTAGCTTCAATTGTGGACGAGATGTGGATGAAATATCGTGAGATGATTTGTGCATGTGCAATGAAGATCAATAAGTGCACCAGTTAGGAGTGCTAGGTTGCTTTATATGTAACAACAAGGATTAGTGTCAGACCAAGCTGAGAGGGTTTGAGGAAATAAAAAGGGTCAACACAGGATATGACCCTCAACAAAGCTGAATGAATGTTGTTGTTGCATACCACAAAGAGTGTCCAATACGCATGGTTCTGACAAATACAACTAAACCAATGAACGTGATGTATGATTAAGATGCATGGGTTTATTCTAAGGATGCAACTGGACAGCAATATGGATATGTTGTTTGAAAGTCAATTTACTTGATCCTGGATTTGACCCTGTTCTTTGTAGCTTATGCTAGAATGCACTTCCCACAAAGTTTGACAAGAGATCACAGTGAAACCAGATCTATATTTTATTTGGAAAACTTGTTGGATAAATAAACTAAAATATAGACATATAAAATCCAAGGACCAAACTCGTTCTCAATATATCTGGATGCAGGAACGGATTCAAAACCAGTAAATCTCAACCTCTGTATTACTCTCCCACTCTCCTATATCTCATTATCTCTCTTTTCTAGAAAAGGGCTCTTCGACTATAGTAACCCTCACTACCACTAAATTGAAAGAAATAAAAACAAGTAAAAAGAGATGATCAAAAAAAGCTTTTTACAGTTTGACCTACGGTAAGACTAACAAAACTTTGTGCTTTCATTTGTTGGATTGAAGAGTAGATATTCTGAGAAACATCAAAACATTCCAAAGAAGCGACAAAGAAAAAGTTAATCATGATGAAATTTCTTTTCTAGAGTCATATATATGATAGACTAATTGATAAATATATAATCCTTTATCCAGTTTTGCTAACTGCCATAAGAAAGTACCTAGTTCCAAAATCGTGTAACTCATGCCAAGCTCCTCTACTCGCAGCTCCTGGTATACATTACTTATTTTTTTGGTTAAGGATATCTATGTAGCGTACTAATGATCTCAACTTTCTATGACGTCTCAACTACTAAATTATTAATAATGCATCAAGTACGTAAATATAGTATTAAGAGGTACATGTTAATGATTAGTAACTATCTCTTTCAAGAAGTAATTTGTGAAGATCTAATATAAAACATGATCATTTGGAGAAAAACCATGGATGGAGAGTCCTCACCAATAAAATAACAAGAAACGTCCATCAACTAGCAGACAGGCAAATCTAAATTGTGTTTCATTCCATTACTATGCATCACTGTATCACGCTAGAGTAACATCAAGACACCAATACTCACCAACAAGCATATGCTACTCCATTTGCATTACAAGCTCTGGTCCAGCTTAATGAAACTACATCAAACAGATTTGGATATACTATTAGACATTTGGATTTGTTTGATGACATTCAAATAAATTTTTCTAACCATAAGCTCCTATTTTCACATGTAGAGAGATACAGCATGCTCCCATCCAGAACATATCATTTTCAATGTAAAACACAGGCTGTTTCATCCAATTGTAAGCAACCTGAATGCTTCCTAAGATAGGCCACCAACAAATTAATCTATAAAATTTTGAAATGTAATTCAACCAATGACAGTATTACTTTTTCCCAACTTTGGACAAGTGGCAACATTTCCAAGATCCACCAAGTTCAAACCTTTTGCACGTGTTCCTTGAAGATACGCATGACTAAGCCTATACGCACCTAATCTGCAAACCTCCAAAGACTTTTGCAAGAATGACAAAATGTTAGCAAGATATAACTACACGAGTTCAGCTAGGCTAGAAGGAATGATCCACATACGAAAAGGATAGCGCTTATGAATCGGATCAGCTTAATAGCTTGATAAACAAACAACTTGTGAAGTAGATATAACCCATGCCGCCAAAATTACAAAGAGAAGGTAACTAATAACGATGATAACAAGAAGCATGGGGTTCTTAGAATCCTTCTTGTTGGTGATGGGTTCAAAATTAAAAAAAAAAATCAGTAAATTTGAGCCATAAAAGTTAATAGTTTTTGTCAGCTGCCAAATGAAAAGGTCCAACAGAAAAATAGGCGATATATACAGCAAAACTCTTAAGTAGATGTTTTTTTGTTGTCGCTCGTCAGGATCAATTATTGACCCAATAAAAGTCCTTGGGCATGCAACAGTTTCAGCAATGGTGGCAAGATGGAATTTTTTACGTTATTATAGAACTAACCCAAAACTGATCTTTCTGTAAAGTAGATTCAAAACCATTCCAAGGTACAAATCAATCACCTCTACATTACAAGCCTTTAATCTTTTGATTAAAACTACTTTATAATCGCAAACAAAGAGATAATTGACCGCAGAAACCATTTAAAAAAATCTGCTACCGACGCAAGTGAGAACATAATAACATTAAAGTTTTATTTTAATTGATCCTTCGTATAAAAGAAACAGAATTGCATGTAATACAGAAAGAGAAAGAAGAAACGGAAGTACTTGATAGATGATGAGGACGAGAAGGGCGATGATGAGGAAGAAGGCGNCACACCAAGATGGCTCCAACCATCCTCCCCCTCTCTCTCCCCCTACTATTTCACCTCACTCTCTCCCTCTCCTCTCTTCCTCTCTCTGTCTCACCCCCCGCCCCCTCTTTCTCTGTCGCTTAGGGCACACAGCACCGCACAAGAGTCGGGGAAAGATGAGGGCCCTAGAGGTGGCGATTTGTAACCCGACCCATTATAAATGGGCATGGGTGACTTGATATTGGTCGGGTTATAAATAGATCGATCCAACGGATCCATTTATTAATCATGTAACGGGTTAACCCAATAGGGTTGTGTAAACGGTCGGTCGGTTCGGTTTTATCAAATTTTAAAAAACTAAACTGAACCACCCATTATTTAAAACCGAACCTAACTGTTGCAAGTCGGTTCAGTGCGGCTTGGTTCGGTGCGGTTCGGTTCGGTTCTAATTTTGTGAGAATGTGTATTTTTTATGATCTAATTTGTAGTCCCCCTGAAGATCTAATTTTAATCATAAAATCTAATTAAACCAATTAGTTCTCACTAATCTATAATTTAGTAGCATGCATCAAGAGCTAAAAAGTTTAGATCTTTCCCCGTGAAACTAAAAGCACAGATTCAAAATTAGAGTTTTTAGTTTATATCTCCACTACGGGTGCGGGTGACCCCAAAGCAGGAGATGGATCCTGAGGAGATGGTTCGGCCTCGGCCATGAAGACGATGATGAGTGGCTGCTTGGCGGCGAGTGAAGGAAATTCGAGTCAATGGCTAAAAGAAATTTGAGTTAGCGACGAGGCGGCGAGTCAGAGGCGACGACGGCCTGCGCCGGTGCAGCTGTGGTGCACCTGCGCCGGTGCAGCTGTGGTGCACCTGCGCCGGTGCAGCTGTGGTGCACCTGCGCCGATGCACTGCGGAGTGCAAAGAGAGAGTGAGAGTGCGGAGTGCGGAACTGCGGACAGAGAGAGGAAGTGCGGCTGTGGGCTTGGATTTAGGGTTTAGGTATTAAGATTTGAGGGATTTAGTGAACGGGTCGGATATGGTTTCTAATAGGTACGGGTTAAAAATTATAGTGTTATTAGTGATACGGTCGATTCGGGCGGTTCAGGTTGAAAAGTTTCCAACCCGATCCGAACCGACCTACAAACAAAACCGACCCGAACTACTAATTTTTGATCGGTTCGATCGGTTTTTTCGGTCTGGACCAAACCATGCATAGCCCTATAACCCACCAATCCGTTTAATTTTAACTCATTTATTATTCAACTATTAATATTTATAATTTATAAAAACACACTCATAAAATATCAATACTTATGAACACTATAAAATCCAGAAATTTTATATAACATTATGAAAATTTTATAATTTGAAGAAAACAACCTTAGCAATTAAAAAATTAAAAGCATCCTCAAAATTTTAAAATTTACTAGAAACCATTAAAAAATCAAAACTTACAAAACAGTACAAAAATCTATAAATTATAAACAGCACAATGAAAATTTTAAAATTTGCAAAAAATATCCTAATAGTTTTAAAATTGTAAAACATACCCTCAAAAAGACAAATTAATGAAAACACAGCTATGAAATATCAAAACCTACAAATAGTACAGCACCATGAAAATTTTAAAATTTATAAAAATACCCTGATAGTTTCAAAAAGTTGCGAATAACACCCTAAAATTAGTCAAATTTTACAAAACATGCCCCTAAAAAATCAAAATCCACAAATAACTAAATAATGTATAACTCAAAAATAGCACCATGAAAATTTTGAAAATTGCAAAAAACACCACAGTTGAAATTACCCTAGAGGAGGGGGTGAATAGTATATGCTAATCTAATCCGATTTAATGCCAAATTAAAACTTATTAACAATTATATCCTAGCAAGTATAATAAACAACAAATTATATGCAATGATATGAAATTAAACTAAGGGTGATATAAACATGAAATAATACAAACAAGATAGTGGGCAAATAACCAATGCAAACACAAGAAAATGATCACGGAGTTTGGTCCTTCCGACCTGTCACACCCCGCTTCCCAAAATACTGGGGAATCGGAATGTGAACAAGCCCGCGACGTATTAAGTTGAGGAGAATAAATAAATGATCATTTCTTCTCAACCTAATACGCTAAGCGCCAAGCAATATACAATGCGAAGTCACAGATTCCCGATCACAAATAGCAAGAATATAATAAACAACTCAGAAATGAAATAATTCATATCACAAATAATATATCATCCGAGACACAAAGTTTGGGTCAAATGTGCCCTTATTACAAAATAGTCTAACAAAATATAAAAAAACATAGTCCAACAGAAATAAGGAGGAGTATTGTAAAAATAACTAAATCCCTCGAAAGACTAAAAGAGAAAGTACTGCACCCAATACGCCGCTACACCGGATCGGTCAGAGGGCTACACGTAATTCGATTTCAACCTGGTTCGAACTCAAGCTAAACTCGGGTGAATGTCAAATTCACGGACCAAAGTGACTACACTAGCTTGACTTTGACCCAACAAACCAACCCTAAGCTATACTAGATCCCGAGGTGAGCCTAGAAGATACATCAATAGCTATATCCGATCACATGAACAATGACTTTCTCATCCCAACTCTTCTTATTTTTCTAAGTCAACAACATGACCTATATTAGATCTTTGGTCCACCCCCTAATTTAGTCAACACACACACACATGTCACTAAGTCTGGTTCATGACGCGCAAAGCCACTAAGTCATGAACTACTAATGGTTCTCAAACACATCAGAGAATAAATGCAACTGATCATGTGCAATAATATTATGGCTTACCAGATAATTAAGCATCATAAGTCATGAACGATAATTGTGATCAATAACTGTATAAGTGAACAGTAACATTAACCATATTTAATATTTATTGTTCAAAACTTTTAATCATGATTGCATATGTGGTGTGTGATAAAAAAATACTAACTGATAATACTTGTGAAATGTGTGTGTAAGACCCCGTAGATTTTGAGTATGTATATGTACATCAGTAATAAGGTTGAGTGTGCTAGATTTCAATCATATGCAGCAGAGTCAGAGTATGCAGTTTCTAGTCCATGAGTCGACCCATGACTGTCATGAGTCGACTCACGAAATCGAGTCCTGTTGTTTTTTTAGTCTCTGCTGAGTCGACTCATTATATCATGAGTTGACCCATGAGTCATGAGTCGACCCATGACTGTCATGAGTCGACTCATCGGGCTTTCTCTGGTTTTCTGGGTCGGGTTTGTTTGGGTTTCGGGTCGGGTTTATCCACTTGTATATATTCCCCTCTACCCGAAAACACCTCTTTTGATCAGAAAACCCTAGAGAAACCCTAGCATCTTCTCCCCCTCTAAACCCTAGCTCGTTTTTGGGATTTCTTGAGCGATTTTTGGGGATTTTCAACGGCTTTTCGTGGATTGCAGCGAAGGGGATTGTTCATCATCACTTCTAAGGCGAGTAACATCTCGCCCAACCCTTCTCCCATGTTTCTATTTGTTTACAACTGTTTTCCATAAGTTTTATTGAGCCTAAGACTTATTTTCAAGTATAAATCAATATCTTTGTTAGGGTTAATACTAGAGATCATGTATTTCGGATTTTTAGATCCCCACTAACAAGTTTTTCATGAAAACCCAGATCTGGAATTTTGTTTAAAGAATAAAAATATGAGTTTTATTTTGATTAAATGTTTTCTTTCATGTTTAGGAGTTAAATGTTAGATTTAACCTACAAGAAAATCGTTTCTCATGATAAACATGTTTTTCTCACTGTATCATAGTCGAGAATCGATAGCTATAGAAGTGTAGATCAGTAAAATGGAAGTGT